AGTGTCAAGTGTGCAAGTATGAGGCAAGAGTCTTTGGGTGGTCCAAAACACACTGCAGTGTGAGACCACTTGAACTGCCCTGGCTCAGTGCTGCTAGGGAATCCTGGGAATGGTAGTTTATTCTGGCACCAGAGCTCTCTGAAAGAGAAGGCTAAAAGTCTCACAAAACTACAGTTCCCAAAATTCCCTAGCATTGAGCCAGGGCAGTTAAAGCAGTCTCACACTGGACTATTTCTGCAGTGTGTTTTAGACCTCAGTCCTCCTGGATTAGGTCCCCATGCATCTGAGGAAGTAGACTCAGGTCTAGCAAAAGTCATGCTTTGTTGTTGTGTGCCTTCAAGTCATATCCGACTTGTGACGACCCTAAGGCAACCCTTGTTGTTGTGTGCTTCCAAGTCATTTTTTACTTATGGCGACCCTAAGGCAAACCTGTCATAGGGTTTTCCTGGCAAGTTTCAGCAGAGGGGCTTTGCCATGGCCATCCTCTGAGGCTGAGAGAGTGTGACTTGCTCAAGGCCACCAATTGGGTTTTCTTATGCTCAAGAAGGGAATCAAATCCTGGTCTCCAGTCACAATCCAAGGCTCAATCAACTACACCACAGTGGCTGTCCTAAAGAACATCCTACCAGCCTCTAGTCTCCAAGGTACAACAAAATCTATTTGCTTAGTGATTTTCCAGACTAACACAGCTGTCTTTCAATAGTCCCACTGGGAGAGGAAGAGGAGAAACGCTGGTCATCTCTCTCCTCTTTCCTTTTCCTTTTTTTCTGTAAGTCCCTTTCTCCTCTTCTCTATGCCTGACCCCTCTGAAAACAAGGCATCTTGAAAGGCAGCTGGAAAGTCCTTTGCAAACACCAACATCTATCTTCAGTACTGATTTTTTTTTCTTTTAAGTCCTTCTTTCCTGGTCTTTAAAAAGGGTAAACAATTGGGTTCTGAAGCTCATTTTCTTGCCTGAAAGGAAAACAAGATAGGCCCAATCCCATGCAAATGTCAGCACCTAGCCATAGAAATGGGATGTTTGAAGGGGTGTAAGGTGTGTGATGTGTTAGGAGTAAATGACAGGTGTGAGCTATGTTGGGAGTAAAACTACAATTCAGACCAATGGGGCCACCAATTCTCTGGGTATGAGTGAAGGAGGGGCAAAAGAGCAACAGAAAGCCAAGATTTGTGCTGAGCATGGCGAGATCTTTTCTTCTTGATGGTCCACTTCGCACAGGGTGACCAGGTGTCTTCTTTTTCCAGGATATGTCCTCCATTTCACCTTCTGTCCAGGAGGATTTCCAAATGTCCTCCATTCTGAACATGACTAAGAAGCATGCATTGACATGCCTCCATATTTTCTCCATTTGGCGTTGCCTTGTCCTCCTTGGAGGTGAGGACATCTGGTCACCCCAACTTTGCAAGAATAAAGAGGCATGAGGCCTGCAATGTCTCCTAAAAGCCTCATACTATGAAAATGGATTTATATTGTATTTTATTTTATTTTAAACAAGGTGAGTTCAGGCTTGGGAAAAAGTAGGATGGCTGGAGGGAGGAGGAAGAAAAAAATGCCAAGCTTCAAAGCATACAAGAGGGCCAAGAAAAGACACAAGGAAAGACCCCCCCTGAGCGCATGGAGTGGTAGAGAAGCTCAGGCTGCTTCTGCACTGGAGAAATAATCCAGTTTGAGACCACTTGAACTGCCCTAGTTTAAGGCTATGGAATTCTGGGCATGGTAGTTGGTTGTGGAGTATTTATTTATTTATCTTTACATGGCTCACAAGATTATTATTTTTTTAACAAAATGTTTAAAACTTTATATGATAACAAATTTTAAAAAAAACAGTGAAGAGTTTTAAACTGTAAAATTTTAATAAGGCAATGTTTTTAATTGTTTGAATTGTTTAACTGCATTTTTTTAAAAACTTTGAATTTTTAATGTCTTATGGTTTCAACTTGGACGGTTTTAAGCCGCCTGAAGTCCCTGTATTGGGAAGAAGGTGGAATATAGAATAATAATAATAATAAGTATAAGTATAATAATAATAATGAAACTCCTCTAATTTTTTTTTAAAAAGGGATAAAATTAACATTAACCAGAAACAAAACAAAACAAAACACAATACAAATTCTACATACAGCAATAGTTTAAGTGGTCTCAAAACCGACTTTATTTCTATAGTGTGGAAAGCAGCTGGATAGACACTTTGGGGAGAGAAAGAAGCCCCAAAGTTTAAAATTGGCGGGAAGATTTGGACCCAGAGGCTGCTGTTGCTGCTGCTTCTGCTGCTACTAACCTTGTGTCTTCCTCTGATTTTGTACCTGCCCAGCTTCCCATCCGCGTACAGGACGAGCTTATCCATCCTCTTCAGGAGGCCGCCTATGTGCTGGCAGCCCGGCTCGGTCCCTTCCACCCAAACCACCTGGTCCCCGCGGATGGCTTTGCTGCGGGGGGGCTTCTGGCCGGCCAAGGCGCCGTCCTGGAACCGGTCGCTCAGGTGCAAAGCCAGGACTTCTTGGAGGACGCGCTCGGCCGGGCGGGAGCCCAGGAAGCGGTCCACGATGCACAAGCCATAGGCGTTCATGCAAGGCACCAGGTAGTGCAGGACCAGGCGCTGAGCATCCCTGCGGGGCTCCCGCTTGGGGCTGGAAGAGGAGGAGGAGGAGGAGG